GAATTGGTGTACTTGATTGTGACAGCAGTTATATATACGGCTCTCCTATCGCTAATTGAAGGCAATTTTCAACGATTAAAATACATGTTTAATAAGAACTCAAAGACAACGGCTGTGGTTAACAACGGGTACAGCACTGGACAGCAAAGTGTTGTGTTGAATGTGGGCAACAATGGCTATGGTATGCCATTCGCAGTCCAACAAATGGTAGACTCGGATGTTTTGGCCGAAAAGCAGCGCATCGATGGTCTGGTGGGCGCCCAGAGTGTGACCAGTGATGCGATTGTTGTGCAAAATCTGTGCAAAACATTCAAAGCATTTCCAGCCGTCGATAACCTCTCGTTTGGTGTCCATAAGGAGGAGTGTTTCGGACTGTTGGGAGTGAACGGCGCCGGAAAGACCACAACCTTTCGTATGCTTACGGGCGACGAGAGTCTGACGGGAGGCCAGGCCTGGATCGGCTACTTATCTCTCAGACAGGACTTACAACACTTTCAACGAGAGGTCGGCTATTGTCCACAGTTTGACGCTTTGCTCAACAAAATGACGGGAATTGAGACGTTGTTTATGTTTTGCCGGTTAAGGGGTATGACTGAGGATATGATACCCACTTATGTGAAGGATTTGACAGCTATGGTAGACCTGACCCCTCACGTCCACAAATGCACCGAAACCTATAGCGGCGGTAATCGACGCAAACTATCGCTGGCTATAGCCCTGTGCGCCGCACCGGCCGTCATATTCTTAGGTAGAGTTACCACAAGTCATATACTTTATAATAGTATATCTAATTAGTAATTACTATCATTTGCACTACAGATGAGCCGACCTCTGGTGTGGACCCATCGGCCAGACGTAAGATATGGTCAACTCTGGCATCACTTCAGCGCATATATGGCTCGGCATTCGTACTGACGTCACACTCGATGGAAGAGTGCGAAGCCCTGTGCGCTCGGGTGGCCATTATGGTCAACGGACAGCTCCAGTGCTTGGGATCTGTTCAACACCTCAGACACAAGTTTGGACAGGGATTCACTATTTTGGCTAAACTCCGGAGGGATATGACTGAAGATCCCTCTTATATGGCATCCATCGAGCAGTTTGTGCGCCAAGAGATGCCGTCGGCTGTCCTGAAGGACGTCCATCAATGTCTACTTCATTATCACATAACAGATCCACAGATGTTGTGGTCGAAGATGTTTGCACTCATGGAAGACATGAAACACCGCTTCTCTCTCGAGGACTACACCATAAGTGACACCACTTTAGAGCAGATCTTCCTTTCCTTCGCCCGAAGACAGCGATAATTAATGTCATAATTGCTGTAATAAAATAAAATTTAAATATGTCTTTAATAGCTTAATAATACTAATTGTAAGTTAAATTTATTCAATAACTTTATTTTTGATAACTTATTAATTGATAACTTATTTTATTAAAACTTAATTATTCCGCATAAATATATTGTTAAATCAGGATTTTATGCGATAACTTTTGTTGCAACCAAATAAAATTTATTATGTCACTTGCAATTTAATTAATTTATTTCTTTAATTTTGTAATGTCAATTATAAGTAGAGTTGTAAATAGATTTATATTGAATGATTAATATAATTGAAATCACAAATAGATCTCACTTTTAAATGAATAGTATTTTTGTTCATGATAAAACATTTCCTTTGTATGAGAACTTGATTACAATTATTAAAACACATTTAAATTATTTCATCCGTGTATGAATTAATTTGAAGTTTATGCTCAGCTAAAATTGACCATTATTCTTAGTTTTGTGTTGATAAATATTGTGCACATTTTAAATAATAAAATGATACACAATTCATAAATGTTAATTTAAACTATATCAAAAAACTAAGTTTATACAAACATTTGTTAGTTATCTAAATACAATTTACAAAAGTATAGCCCAAAACCTCAAAACATATGCTCTTATTGATAGTGAAAACCTGTTGATCAACTATTGTTACCATGTTTCCACATTTTAATACCAATACTGTTATTGAATTTTAATGTAAATCATTTGCACTATCAATGAAAGCACGTGTTGTAAAGGATATCCATTTTCAGCCATATTTTGTGAGCAATACTTTTTACATTCCCATCATTTAAATTTTAATAAAATTTATAATAATTTTAAATTTTAGTATTTAAATATCATTTGTTTAAAATGTGCCCAAATTTAATAAGTGTTTTGTTGATTGAAATGAAGAGTAAATTAAATGCAAT